AAGTGGTTACAACTGCACAATTGCTATTTTATTGTAGTGAATTACTATTTTGTGCTGTAGTAACCAAACACAATACATTTGATTTGATGCTCTGTAGATGGACAGGGCACTACACAGTGTAACATCCCAGCTTGTTCCCTGACCTCACTGGATGACAACAGTGAAAATTTGTGAAGAAAGCACATAGAGCAAGGTCTGTCTTATATCTGTACAGTGGTGGATGAAGTACTCAGATTCTTTACTCAAATAAAAGTAGCAATACCACAGTGTAAAAATACTCTGTTACAAGTGAAGGTCCTGCATTCAAAATGTACTTAAATAAAAGAACAAAAGTATTAGCATCAAAATATCCTTAAAAGTACCAAAAGTAAAAGTGCTCATTATGCAGATTAGCACATTTCACATCGATGTATTTTATATTATTAATTTCTAATTGCTAATGCTCCAACCACCACCTTCAGCGACAAGTTGCAGCCCCAGGCTCCACTTGCAGTTTCTGACGCTGGGCAAGGCAAGGCTATTTATAGAGCACATTTTCATACATAAAGCCAATTCAAAGCCAAAATGCTTAACACAATGTATACAGATAGATAAAACATTAAAATAAATATACATAAACTATTAGACTGCAAATTAGATTGAAAACATTAAATGTCAATTAAATGCAAGAATTATATGACAGCATGTGGTAACATGCAAGTGTAGGTGCCCAGTACTTTTAGGATAAAAGTAGCACATACCGTTGATTCAGTTAATACAGTATATATGTGCCTTGCTGTTTTCTCCTGCAGTGTTAGTTCTTTTCTTGTGAATAGTGCAGGCCCTGTAAAACATAAAACAGACATAAATATTGGTCTGTTGGCTGCTGGTTCCTATAAAATAAGAAAGAAACATGTGTTATGTGTACATTGTTTAAAAAATGTACCAGCCACAAAATATCATCTCGGCTTTGAGCTAGATCTGATCTGCAGCTCCTTGATTGTCTTTAAATGAAATTAAATAGCTTTTTTTTATATCAGAGTGAGATCTCTATCATTTCTTTTGTTTGTTTTTTAAAAATCACCACCAGAATTCAAAGGTCTTTGCATTTTAGCTTGCTAAAGCAATGTCTACTATTTGTGTACTAGGCAATGTTTTTTTTCCTTTTATTAATTTAAAAAATATTGTTTTAATTAGTTTGATTTTTGATCATTTGTATTTGATTTAGTAACTCGACTGCAGTGCTGTTCTAAAACCTTCTGCACAGTGTCAAGGAATGTAGGCAGAGGTACTAAGGTTAAGGATAATCACCTTTATTGGCCAAGTATGTTACACACAAGGAATTTGTTTCTGGTACAGAACCGATGGCTCTAACCATTGAGGGCAACGGGCGTTCAGTGTCTTGTTTGGTCTTGAAGGACTTTTACACTGCAGTGGTTATGCTTTACTGACAAATCAACATGACGTTTACAAAATCAAAATAAAGTTGCAACTGAAGCATATGATCTCCTTTATGGTTTTGTAAGTGAATTCACTTCCAGTATGGTCCAGTATGTAGTCATAATGCTGTTATGAATACAGTTCAGATGTTACAGCCACAAGAGTCCCAGGCTATGTAAGAGCTGAAATGCATTGCACAATGATGTCCTTTCTGTTTATTACAGACCAGCAGGTGCACCTTTAAACTGAATACACCCTGCACTGATTTCAAACTCACCTGGGCAGGTGTTTGCCACGACAGCCATACTTGTGTAGGCTGAAAGCCAGCAGTAGCTCTACACAGACTGTGTGTAATAATGTAGGAAAACAAGCAGAGGGCTTAATTACAGGTGAGTATGTCTGAACAGAGCTTAGCATGGCGGGATATACAGAGGGTACTGCTAGAATAATAATGTGGTTTAATCATTTAAGACCACAAGTAGAGGGGGAGGACAGACTGGCAAATCTTAACTTGCTCAGATGGGATGTCAAGCAGTAAGTGGCTTTCATGTGACATCATTTACTGTCTGGCAGCCAGTTTGTGTCATCTCAGTAGCAGTGGCCAGACATGACTGTTTGTTTCTGACTAGGAACATATTTCACTGCTAATTTCAGTGTTTTGCTATTAAAGGAGTAGTTTCACAGTTTGGGAAATAATTCACTTTCTTACTGAGAGTCAGATGAGAAGATTAATAACCTTCTTGACCGGCCGACAAGTACTGGCAGCTGTCCTACCATCAGGTATGATCACCATAACAGTCATCATGAACAGAATCTTGGGGAACACACCATATGTACGAGTCCATACTGCTGCACGTGGTACAGGTGTCATGGGCCACTCCTGCCTTCCTGTTAGAAACTTCCTGATTTTCACCACTTCACCTTCTTCATTGTTGCTACTGACCATCAGAGGCTGATTCCACTCACCTGTAGCTTTTTATCCCCGTCCTATATATACTTCTTTGTTTTCTCCCTCTTGTTGTCAAATGGTGGTTTCTCTTGCTGCAGTTTTGTTTTGTTGTCTTTTTTCCCGCCTACAATTTTTTTTTAATGATTATTATTGCATAAATGCCTCTGCTGCTGTGTCGTAAGTCTCCTGATCTGGTTTTGTACTTGTAAATAAATAAATAACTGAAACATGTTCCCTGATCTTAGAGCAGAGCAACATGGTGGGGATATGAAAGTATGTGTTTAATGAGGCACATCTGTCCATGGTCACTGAGGAGTGGAATGCAGAGTAATGTTGTATGGATGCATCTGTAGCTGTCTGTTTACATGTGCTTCACCTCAGCCCGCCAGTGAATCCAGAGGCCGTGCTGGTACTTGGCACTAATGAAGACAGTGGTCACTCTCAATGTGTGTTGCCTGGATATGAAAAGAGAGGAAAGTTTATTTTGTCTTTTTCATTAGGAAAAATAAAAAGTCAGCTTTATTTGCTTGCTGTTCGCAAATGTTTTCAGATTTATTGGTTGAGTATGTTGAACACAGAATTTATGGTGTGGTTTGTTTCTGTTGCTCTAGCCATTGCTTCTGTTGGTAAAAATTATGTTGTACTTACCACAATGACTGCTGAGATCTATAGACATGCCTTAAAATAGATACAGCAAAGAAAGAAACAGGAGGAGTCAGATGATCAGACAGGTTCAAAACAGTAATTGGTCAAACCAACAGTGAGTGGTGTCCTTCATGTCCTTTATTGATCACGTTTGTTTCTGCTTCCAAAATAGGATTGAGCCACTTATAGATTTTCAACCTGTCTGATCATCACTTGTGTTACTTACCCAGAAACCTATTTTATGGCCAATAATAACTGATTATTGCAAACCAAAAGTGTCTGTTATTTCCACATTTAATAGTAATGTTATTATTAAATGTATTTTTTCTGTCTTTACACAGATTTACCTATAGTTCTTGTATATTTTGCTAAGGAATTATGATTGCAACACACATCAGGGACTACTGTATATATGAATAAAACAAAATAAATTTGGCCTCAACCTTTTTTAAGTCTTGTACAGAGAATTGCTTCTACAATTGGGTATAACATAGTCTAGCAGGTGAAGTATAATAAAATGGAATAATACATGATGATGTGCATTTACAGTATTTCACATGTTTTACATACTATAGTTCCTGAAAAAAGTATCTGAAGGTTTGGTGTCAGTGCATTTCTCCTTATATATATTTCTTAGGAATTTAACCCTCAGTATCTTTGTCCTGTAGCAGGATCATCTGCATAGAATGTTCAGGTCCACTGAGAGTATTTTTGTCTAAATACAATGAAAATTGCCTCACTCAGCTGGTACACCTGAGTATAGTGACTCTGATAAGAATTAGTTCTGTTTATTAAAACCTATAAAAGATAGAGGTAACACCCAACAATGCCTGACTGCTGTTTATGCTCTTTTTCTGTGGTGCTCACATGATCTGGTCCCAGGGAAGAGGACCTGTGTTGCCCAGCTCCAGTGAGGCAAAACCGTCCCAACCAAGCAACTGCCTCACAGCCCCAGGGCCTTCACTGTATGTTCACCTTGTGTCACTTGCTTTGTAGTAATTAATTACACAGTATTATAACTTTTTAGCCTTATATTGTGCTTACATGATTACATTTTTTTTTGCATTCAATTTACCAAAAAAGGTGCTATTGGTTGTTTATAGTATCTCTAAGTAAAACAGTATTTTACTGTGTAGGTCTCTGTGCCTTTAATCAATATTTTGAAGGTGATGAGGTACATATACAATGAAATAAAGTCAAGGAGTTCAACATGAGCAACAGCATATTTTGTCCAATTTCATAACATTCTATTTTGGAAAAGGTTCAAGGGGGCTTTGTAGTACGATGATGTGGAACCATAAAGTAGGTCTGTTCTTTCAGAGGAACTTTGTTGTTGTCTTTGCAGTTGATGTTTATGGATAAGATACAGTCTTATTCATCCTGAATGAATATTTTAGTGCCAAAGATGCTCAGTATACATAAAATAAATATGCATATACATAGTGTGCACACACAGCAAGAGTGGACTGTAATGATTTGTTTTTTGTCCAGTGGGTTGGGTTGATGGCTATGGAAGGAAGGATTTTTTTTCTAAAAATGGTAATAACTTATTAAAGTCGCAATAAAGAAATACTCTATTATGTGTGTAGGCCAACATTAGTCTACACAGTAACAACATTTGTATATGGAATACGGACAATGTGACTGAGAGGTAATTTAACACTTTAACATTATGGAACTGTCAGATTATTCTCCTGTAGGTGGGACTTCCCACAAACTAACCCATAGGTACAAAGGATACTGGATGTGCTTTTAAAGGTCGCATTAGTAAACTCGTTGTTCCCGGCAATAGTGTCCAATGAAATTAATGAAAGTTTCTTTTGTCCCACCTTCATTAGTCCGCTGGCCAATCAAAACCCTTACAGTTCAAGAACGCTCCATACGATAGGCTGGAGCGACGAATGTAACACAGTGATGGGCCAATTGTGTATGAAGGATGGTTCTTTCTGACCAATGGGCATTTAGGACGTAGACACCGAGATTATAAATAACAAGGTGACAGGCTAACTCGGTCTACGTTCATTGACTCCACTGGGTGCCAGAGAAGATCATCCCGGACTCTCGGAAAGCTGTAACAAATCGGTAATGTTTGCGCTTATTGACGTCCACACTTCCTTAATGCCCAGTTTGGACTATGGTTAAGTCTGTTTGTGTTTTGCGTCTATGTGGGAGCTGTCAGGATACGCTTGGAAAGCTAAGTTAGCTGTCACTGCTAACATTCGGTAACGTTAGTTTGTAAGCTAGGTCGGCCATTCAATGGTTTGGTTCCTAGGAATGCCTTGTGAATCAATTAGTACGTGTATTCCCAGTTTAGCTACAAGATAGGCACCCTGACTTGATGAGTGATGCTCGGCCAGCCACTGCGATATTCCTGCCGCACTGCCAGCATCAGCAGCGGGTCCGACACCGGGCACAGCGCGGGCAAGCTGCCTTGGCAGGCAGTTGAAAGTAAAATGTCTGACACTCTGGGCCTACCATACTCTGAATCAGTACGCTGCGAAGACACCCTTTTCAAAGACTTAGTGTCATACCGCCTCTTGTCATTGCACTAAAGCGCTGTTAGGCTTTATGTTGCCTGGACGTCCACCGTGCATGATTTTTCAAGCCCTATGTGACCGGCTGTCGTTCGTTTTTGACCTTCACCACTACTAGCTGGTTAGCTTAGCAACTTAGCTCCGGCCTTTCTCCTCTCCTCCAAGAGGACGGTCAGCCCAACCCAGGTCTAAACGGGTGACACAGTAATGCAAATGTACCTGTCCTTTGATTTTGCAAAAAGTTTAATCGTGTTTGTGTTGAACAAAATATACTAGTTTACTTGAGTTTGTATCATGGACTAAGCAAACTTCCAAGGAGGGATATCCTCCAGGTTTCAGCTAATGGCGTGTGAAAGTAGGAGGAACTTATCAAAGCCATTTATTCTGCAGCATGTGCAGCGGTTTATCTGAAGGTGATCTTGTAGCAGTCTATACCTCTGGATCAGTCTTTGTGCTGACCCGGCCGGTAGCAATACCAGCTTCACTCCTCCTTTGTCAAATAGTTGCCAGACAATCATTACACACACTAGATATTCTTTGTGACCAGGGCAAAACATAATTTTATTTTGGATTGGTAGCTTTATGCACAGGAACTTTATTTGCTCAAGTGTGCATTCTTAGAGCCAGAGCTGAATACGGGACAGCCTTGCTACACAATACTGCAGCTGTCAGTGGCAGGTCAGTAAAGAGCTATGACACAGAGCTACATCCTCCACCTCTCGGATCCACATCTGTTAAGACTCCAGGCTGCACATTTTTAAAATACCCAGAAGTCACCTGAGTTATAAACTAATCTTTGTAAAGTTGTTTGATATATTGTACACATCCTGTCATTTACATGTTTGTGTCCAGTGCTGTCTGTTTCAATCTCTGTTCATCTCCATGATGACCACTAGATGTCCATCTTTGCTTCAGCACCTGCCTGATAGGTGTTAGTGGCCCAGTCCATAAATAAGAAGTTTCAGGTTTGATTCCTGTGAATCCATTAACCAGACTGCTAAATCTACAGCCTGACCAACAGAAAGGACCATGTATGAACATAGACTAAAGTTGTGAAATGCTTCTACTCTCTCCAGATTCCAACCATGTATGCCTGCGCCAAGTTTGTCACTTCTCCTGCTGTGGTACGTCAGCTGTGTGATAATCTTTAAATATGTAGCACAGAGATTGCATGTGAGATTTCTACTTTGAATGCTGGTTCAAATAATAATGACCCATCAATAGTTTATTATGATGGTTTTAGGTGGAAAGTAGCTGTTACCTTCTGAATTGACTTTTTTATTTTTTAAAACTTGTACAAACCATCTTATGGAAGGCAAAATCTGGAGTGATTTCACTCCAAAGGATGTCTGCATTTAGGGGTTCACTGCTGCTTGACCTTTTTGGCAAAACAGAAGTTTTAACTGTTAGAGGGGAATAATGGGCAGGGTTGGTCAGTGCACTGTGACAGTTGTACATCTGGTGGCATTTTCATGTCAGCTGACTGTGCAGCATCTGGGACATTTCAGTTATGGAGGTGTTGTGGAGGACAAAGTTCCATGTTTACATCAGACCTCAGATCACCAGAGTACAAGTTAGATAGCCATAATTGTAGTTCTAGGGCTGGGTTGAATTAATACATAATTGATATGAAATATGGTGAATCAAGATTTGGTATAATTCAGTTTTGCTCACTTATTATTATTATTATTATTATTAGTAGTAGTAGTAGTTGTAGTAGTATGTAAGACTGGACTATAGTTGTATTGGTTCCAGGTGATTTTGCTGTTGAAGCACCTGTAGAGATGGGTAGTTGAGGGCTTTCTGTTTAGGTCATTGCAATAAAAATGAAGAGTGTGACACACTGGAAGTGTTAATATACAGGTTTTCAGAGTGTGTGGTTGTAATAACTTTGCTTGTCTGTGCAGCTACGTGGGGGGTCCAGAGTCCTCGCCAGGCCAGTCTCAGTGTCCCTCTTCAACAGATCTGAAGTCACAGTGGAGCAGCGGGTCAGTCCTTTCACCTGCAGTGATCTTCCAACAAATTTTTAGAGTTTTTTTTCTTTCTTGCAGACATAGGTTAAATACTGATATGTGAATAGAGTTGGCAAATATTGATAAAATCTGTAGTCAAGATATCAAGTGTTGGTGCTATATTCACATTATCATTTTTTGCCAATTGGTCATAAGAATTGCTACCTCAGTAAATGTACCAATTTTTTTTTTTTTTTATTAAATCATTGTATACATTATATCACCAACATCTGACTGAGCGCAAGACGTACTATACGCTTCCACAGGCTCTGACTAAAGCTCTGTTTCCACCAGAGGAACTTTCCCTGGGGAGTAGGTACATTTTTAGGAGTGTAGCTCCTCTATCTGCATTTCCACTGGAGGGTCCAGGACCTAAATTTGGTTCCGGGGCACAGTTCTACCCTTGTAAAAAGGACCTAGTCAGGGGGCAATACTTTCTGAAGGTCCAAGAGCTTTTGGGCTTGTAGTGCTGAATGTCACTGATTGGTCAAATGCAGTGCTCTAAAGCACAAGCATTTCACAGTCATATAATGCGAGTAAGTGTGTGCCAATATGAAAAATGATTTGGACTCACTGATGCAACTGACTCAAGTTCCTTCAGTCCTCAGTTTGTAATGACCATCTTATCGATAGACCTGCACAAAGAGACCAGTGCTTAAGTTTGTTGTATTGTGGAGCAACGTCGCCTGGTGTTTGACTGAGGGTGGAGCTCGGCTCCTCCACACATGGAGTGCAATAGGCAGAGAATGCCGTGGAGAACATGACTTCAGCTAAAGTGAAACATTACTAACACTATGGTTAGCACTACATGTGTTAACCATAGCGAGCATCTTGTATGCAGTATTCTTACAACTCTCCCGCCGACCATCCTGCTTTTACGTCAGTGGGCTAATTTCTTTAATCTCTCCTGGGCTTGAGCCCTACTTTGATACGCACATCACAATGTGCTTCAGGGGCTTTTACCTGAGGGGCAGTTCTTGGGCTTTAGTTCCTGGGAATAAAAACTACCAGCAACGTTCTTGTGGAAATGCAGCTTCAATGTATTTGTAACAAATTTATAGACCATATCTCAATTATAAAGTACTTATAAGGAGTGAATTATGATAAAACCTATATGTGCATTTAGTAAACCGTTTACAATGCTTTCCAACTGTGTAATATAGCTGTTTTTGCATTGCACTGCTGTACCATTGCACTGTATTATTAATATTCACTGGAGTCCCCCCCACAAAAAATAATCTTGTTTTGCTGCTTACTAGGTAACAATTTTCATTGTAAAAGTCTTAATTCAGTAATAAATCAAATGCACAAGTATATATTCACATGAATGCCTTCTCAAGCTTAATGAGTATTGAGTGACCATTGGTTCTTGGCACATGCCTGTACTGTAGCTGTTTAGTTGTCTGTCCTCTGAACCCTCTCTCAGGCCCTGTTGCCAGTCAGCCAGTCTGCAGTCCTGACTCGCTCCTTCCAGACCAGCGCTGTCTCCCAGGACATCGACACTGCTGCCAAGTTCATTGGTGCTGGTGCTGCCACAGTGGGTGTAGCTGGCTCAGGAGCTGGAATCGGAACAGTGTTCGGCAGCCTCATCATTGGCTATGCCAGGTAACATTAATGCACGTTAGTCCTTTGGAGAATTTGTTCAACAGAACTATGAAGGGTTGCTCAGTACTTTGAGACTTTGTCGGACTGCTTTGGATATTCACCACCATGACACACGACACACCTGACAATGGACAGGACTGTTGGGTCCCCTTTCTGATGTTGCTGTCATTTGTTTTAATCATTTGTCTATTAATTAGTGCTTATGTAGGTCAAAGATATCCTATGGAAATTTATGCAAGGCATAATAAAATTATTTGAGGAGTCCCTGATATACTCTGTTAAAATTAAATCGGCACAAATGTCAACGGAACAGCCTTTCCAATGACATAAGCTGCTGACTGAACTCAATTATTAGCTTTTTAACATAACGCGGTACCTGAGGTTATAGTACAGAACTTGACAGGTGTTGTCCAAAAGGAACTTGTGAGCACAAATAACTATGCAAGTTCAGAGTTATTTCCACACGTATGCATAAGAGGCATATTGGAAAACATTGCTCATGGACAACAGTGCAACCAAAGCACAGACGGTGCAAAACAGCATGTAGGTTTAAAAAAAAGCAAAATAATTCTAGACTTGAGTTAAATGCAGACCTGCCAGCTTGTGCACGCTTTGCATAGTAGGTATGTGTTGTGATATTAAAGTATGCTGGTATGATTGTCACTACACAAAATGCCACTGACACCTTGTGAGCTTGACTTGTTGTGTAGTAATGTTAGTCTACCCCAGTGAGCATCTGACCCATAGAGATAGGTCTGAAAAGCAAAACAAGAGTTTGACCAGTTATAGTGCCGGATTTAGGGATGATGACAGATGCATAGCTTTAATGTCATTTCAAGAGACAGTAGCTAGTATCTGTAAATTGACAGAACTCCTGACCTTGATTGTATCCTTCTTGTTCCCCTTCCTCACTCTGGCTGGCTCAAGTGAGGATCATTTTTGAACTCCTTTTAAAAAAGTAAATGGGCGGGGGGGACGAGGAGAGTTTCAATTGTGATTGGAGTTTGTTTGTTCAAGGTTGGCAGGTCTGTAAATGCCACACAGTCTTGGGTAAGAGTGATTGCTCTTACATTGGCAACAACAGCTTGGATGTAAACAAGGTCCAGTTTTTGTCATCTTGGAGCAAACTTGACATGATAATGGAGGTCACCAGTAATGATGAAATTTAATTTGTGCTGCTGATGCTCTGCAGCTCTCACAGTGCCTTCATTTCATTAAGGGATCTACATGGTATACGTGTCCCTGTGTGCACAGCCCCCTCTGTGCCTGTGTGCGTGCAGCCTGCAACCATCACTGCATTCATACTTGCCCCATGAGGCTTTGTGGAGTTGCCAATGTGCTCAGGCACTGTAAAGGGAATGAAATTGTGGATGCTGAGGAGAAAGGCTGGTTATGTTTTTGGTATTTATTGCATAAGATGATTGTTCTTCCTCTAAACCAGATGTGGAGAGAAGATTAGGAAAAAGACTTCATTAAACTCATGAAACCCATGCACATTAAAGAGGACAATATGTGGAGGGTTCTGTATTTTTGCATGTCTGTAGATCCGTTTAATTTACTGCATTGAATCGTGCACTTTACCAGCACACCATACTTCCATGCAGCAAATGCAGTGTGCCTTTTTGTTTAAATGTAGTGTCGAGGTCACATAATACTAGTGTGCCAGTTGGTAGCAAGGAGCCACATGCCCTTGCACACAGTTTAAAAAAAAATCACTGGCCGTCATAGTGATGAATTGCGTGGGGTTTTGATAGCGTGTGGAGGGTTTGAGGCACCCTCTACAGCGAGCATTCAGCCGGGCCTTGGTGCTCAGCAGGTAGACTGCTAAGCAACAGCGACTAATGCCCAGAGCAGTATGTCCTGATCATAAACTCCACTAGCAGAGAACAGTGTTACTGTTAACACTGTTCCTTGTTAATTTATTGTACTGTTTCAGTAACAGATGTTTTAGTCTACCTTTCTTGTATCAGAAGGTTAGCTAAAGAACCTACACCTGTATGTATAATAGAGTACTGTTCAGCAGCTCCGCAAGCTGTCCTACAAGCTGACCATCCAGTTAAATCTACACCTCAAACATTTTCAATGATCATTGAAGATGAGATTTATTCCAGGACTGTCATCTCAGACTGCTTTGAGCTTGACTTATGATTCTGCATTGAATCTATGCCATAAGTAATGCTAAGCTTTGTACCCTACGCTGTAGCCAGATATGCACCTTTCTGGATGTGTAACTGCACATCAGGGTGACGCAGACCACAAACGACTGATTTCCTCAGTCATATCTCTGTGGCTGGACAAGCATGGAAAAATCCCCCCTTGTTATTCCTAAGCTGGTTCAATCGTTGTACAGACCATCTCCTCTGATGTCTTCGCTCTTATCTGCATTGGAGTAATTTCAGTAAAAGCAACTGCTGTTTGACATTTATTAGTTTTAACTCCAACATGATCTGCTCACTTTTAGTCACCATTGTTATGTGGCGACGAAATTCAACATAGTGGCATAGATACACCACCACCAACTAGCATCTTGGCAGTGTAATTGCAGAGCGACACAAACACACCAGTGCATATGTATAAATGCTCACAACGGCATAGGTCACTTGCATAGCCTATGATGTAGGCTCTGCATACATCACACTTTAGTTAAGTGTATCTAATAAACTGTCAACTGGTATAAACACACAAGCCCCGGCTGCACATGGATCACAGTGCTTGGAAAACTTCTGCATAGGTGGAGAGAGGGTAAACCCCAAATTTGGAAGCACGAATAAGAAATGAATACCCTACACAAGGGTATGCGGAAGGCATGATTTGGCCTTTACTGGTTAGTGATTCCCTGTTTGTGTAGTAATAAGTTGTCCCACCCAGCTCCATGGCCATCTGTGAAATGTTGCTGTGTAACCATGTGTCAGTGAAAACGATATCAAATCAAATCAAATTTTATTTGTATAGCGCCAAATCACAACAAAAGTCATCTCAGGACACTTTACAAAGTAAGGTCTAGACCTTACTGTTATCAATATTATTACATAGGGAAAACCCAACAAACCCCCCTTGAGCAAGCACTTGGCGACAGTGGGGAGGAAAAACTCCCTTTAACGGAAGAAACCTCCGACAGACCCCGGCTCTTGG